TTTGATTGTGGGTAAATAGAACTTTGTTGTGATTAAATGATAAATGATTTCTCTTCTCAAAATTGAATTTACTATCAATTACTATCGAATATAAAACAGGTTTGTCACTGAGAGGTTTGATTGAGCTTATTGATAGAAAAGCCCCCTCCCAATAATAGCATATGTACAACAGAAGTTAACTGAGAAAACGTTTTGTTGGATAGATATAGATATGTACATATTTGAAAACATTTCTGATTTGCAGTAAATGAGACACCTGCATTGCCATGTAAGATCAGATTACATGTAATACCAATCAGCGTTCTGATTTTAACAATACTTTCTAAAGATTGTAACAGTTTATGTCTTTGAATAGCATACAATGGATATTCAAAGAAGTAATGAAAATCGTTCTCACATCCATGGCCACATTGACATGATGCGTCATATTTTGAATATTTATTCTAAATAAATCGTAATTAAGTGCACTCGTCATATATCATAATATTGTGTGCAAAACATATAACTTCTTTATTCCATATGAATTATATTTAGGTTCCCATTTGTCTTTATTTGATTCATAATGATACAACAGGTTAAGGTTAAACCGAAATGTTTATGAAAATAAATTGTTTGTATATTGCAGCAATAAAATTTCAAATTACTGTCTTTTCGTCCATCTTTCAAAATAAGTAATATAGCTTCAGTTTGTTCCTGTTTTTTTATTTGGACTATTCCATCATAATGTGTAGGTAACAGGTAGTAGATAATCTGTTCACTGAACCGTAAATGTTGTTGTTTTAAGGTGTCTGCGAACTGGCTGTCTGCGTAATGGGAGGACACCGCTGGATAAACCTCACCCTTTTCATAATCAACTATTTTCTTTTTCGACAGATTAACATTTGCCGTTTACAGCAGTAACCATACAGTATATACACACTATATTTGTAAGTGAATAAGAATATTGGCCAACAAAATAAGTTTATTAACAATTAGAAGCATAAAAATATGACAAAAACCAAAATGACAAGTATGTTTAATTTCACTTATCAATATCAATTAGAAACAGAAAGAGATAAGCATACATCATTGTCATAGCCCATTGTCATAACCCACAATCAAATGTACCAGTTACACTGTTTGCTTTAATATGACAGTCTTATTCATTGTGTAACTGTATTTGTTTATTGCATTGTTTCTTTGAATATTATGTAATGGGCAGATGTGTGCTTTATCTATACTTGTTCGATGATACGACTTGTACTATATTTTGACTAAGACATCTGGAAGGTTCTACAAGGCGTTGCAGCTGCATGGGACTTTCCAGAATGCTCTAATCCCGAGAATATTACAGTAATTTCGGATAGTGTTTTCGTATGCACATATATAGAGCTAATTCTGGCCTCGCAGTTCACACTACATCTCAAGTTACAAGGAGACCAGCAGTTGTGTAATGTATTTTTTACCCGGGATATTCAGCCAAGGCCTTCTAGGAGCTTGATCACTGTTGCAGGGAGGTGAATATTGCCATCACTGTCCTTTTTGCTATTATCACTGCTTTTGTCTTATATTGACTTTGAAATTGTACTGTCACCTTTTCGTACTACCATTGTAATACCTTTGTAGTTAACATTAATATAGAACACAATTGTAGATTCTATACTACCCATCAAAAGTTTAGACTCACTAGTGAAATGTAGCCACTAGATTTTGCAAAATATTCCATACTGTTTAAAGGTACTGTTTACACATGAACTGATGTACTGTACAACAAATTCGTACAGTTGAAAAGATTATTGTCATGAGTTCAAGAAATGATGAAACTCAGTGAAAATTGGTGAATTCTTAACAAAACTTTACACCGAAACGCAGCTGTTCACGTGCACGATATTTGCACATGATTTTCAGCAATTTGATGCATGATCCTCATGCAATTTATCTGCATAAGGTTTGCAGTTTGTTCCCCCAAGTTAGGGGAAGCATATTGTGAGTGCTTTAAGTGAGTAAACTTTTGATGGGTAGTATATAACACTTCTTTGTTTTTCGTTGGTTTCACACCTTCTTCTTTCAAGGACTGATTCTAGGTTAACTTCTAGTTTCAACATTAAGATCAACACCGGGTACCTAACACTGTTGTTTAAACGAACTCAAGCCTTTACGTTTCTGAATATGGATTGGATATCCACTTTAGTACTCGAACCATTTTTGTAGAAAACCTTCCAAAGAGGATGGCGCTGAATAGAATCGAAGGATTCAGAAAAGTCATTAATGCTGCATACGATTAACCCCCTTTACGTGAGAGATAACGATGAACGATAGCATTTGAAATATAATCATCAACATCTGAATATCATTGTCTTAACCCAAACTGAGGATCACTTATTTGCCATGTGGTGCAGCCCAATTTACTAATCGCTTGTTCAAAATTAATGTAAAACTGCACAGAAAATATTCTTCAGGGGCTTACAAAGACATAATTATCAGGAACAGAGGTTTCCCTTTCTTTCTTCTTTGGTGTGATAACAGCATATGAATGTTTAAGGTATTCACTAAGAATGTTGTCAAGACCAGCCGATTCTTTTGTTTCAAAGGCAGTGGTGCTGTCATAAATTTCGGATCTGGTGATCGGGATATCTGATATCCTTGTAGTTAAAGATTTCTTACGTCATATCGAAGAATCGGATTCTCCACTTGTGTACAATGTGTGAAGCCCATTTCTAGTGTCCCCCGCTGTGATATTGCTGGAACATAGTCTCTTTATCCCACCAATCATCTCCAGTATCCTCCTGTTACTGGGCACCCGTGAAGAGCCACCTCCTCGTGGTGGGTGCTTGGTAACGCTAAGCGCTGTTCAACCCCCCGTTGTGGACCCGGGGGTATATTTGGTCCACCAACCCGTTTGCCGTGGGTTGCGCCCCTGTGTCGGTGGAGGACGGGAGTCTGGTGGTTGAGGGCAGTGGTTTCCAGGAACAGTGTTCCTTTGCCCAACACACCACTTCGCCCCTGACTTCACCTAGACGGGTGGTATAACTGGCCCGGTTCTATCAATCGGCTGGTCACACCAAGCCCTGTGCATGGTGATTATATTTGCACAATAAATTATCATTTAGGTCTTGGAAATTTGGTTTGCAATGTTTAAATTATTGATAACTTTATATTGCCTAGAGTCCTACGCCAGAAGGCGGTGGCTCATGGGCCAATCTGGTGATGTTGACCTCCAATTTCAATATGTGTCCAATTTCTTGTCATGTGCAAGAACCAACCTGCTATTTAATTGGTATATTTAATTGCTGGAGTATAACATCCCTGTATCCCTGGTGTCATCATCTTGGAGATCCGGTGCTAATTCACATCGTCCTTGTTGACACTCCATGGTGGGTGGGGAGCAGGGATGCTGAATTATTTTCCTTTCATTATGGCGTCCCCACAAGTTGTTTCATCTCGGAATGAAAAGAAGAGGCGACTGAACGAGTTAGATCACTCAAACGCAAATATGTCTGCAAACGTGGGCTCGATTCTTAGTTATTGGAGCTACGGCTTTTCTGCCAATTAAACTAAACCCTTTTGCTATTTCAAAAGCTATCTTTGGGATTTGTGGCGAGGTAAAGAATGTCACTCGTATCCGTACTGGGTCACTTCTGGTGCAATGTGCACGGAGGCAGCAATCTCTCAATTTGTTATCGATTAAAACATGTGCAAATGTTGAGGTTGCTGTGTCTGTGCACAGAACTCTAAATACTTGTCGTGGTATCATACGTGACTGGGCACTGTGTTTGTATGATATGAGTGAAGAAGACATTGCTACAGAGCTTGAGGACCAAGGTGTTACGGCAGTAAAGGGTTTCACCATCAAGACAGAGGGAATCTTTACTAAAACAAATACGTATCTGTTGACTTTTGCCAGCTCTTCGATTCCGCAATCTATCAAAGCAGGTTACTTTAACATCGGGGTGGATGTGTATGTCCCCAATCCACTTCGGTGTTACAAGTGTCAGCATTTCGGACATGGGTCTCATTCATGCCGTAATTCTGCAGTGTGTCATCGTTGTGCAGACAACCATGACAGTACAGACTGTCAGAACGATTTTAAATGTGCAAACTGTGACGGCCCACATGCTGCTTCATCCAGGTCCTGCCCTATATAGCAAAGGGAATCGAAAATTATGAAAATCAAATGTGAAAAGAATATTCTTTATCTTGAGGCCAAGAAACTTTTCACAAGTCAGTCTTCACCTCAATTAAATATCCCATATTCCGCCGCAGTCAACCGCTCTGCAGAAATGAGCTCTACTGCATGTCAGACTGACTTGACTTGGCTCAAGTCAGCTCAACCTTTTTCATCAACGTCAGCCATGACACCAACTACCCCAGTCACTCAATCTACGTCTGGTTCCCAGACAGATGAAATTGATTCCATGATCCTATCTCAAAAGTCTATGTCAAAACCAGCCAGAGACCAACTTAAAAAAGAAGAAAGGAAAACAACTAACAAAAGACAAAACACCTTCTGTCCCTTTACCTTTAGCGGTTCAACTCAGTGGAGGTTACTCCGTCCTCACAGGACAGGCAGAGGTACAGTTCCTCACACACCCGTCAACGATCGCTAATTGAGCCACCATGACTCAATTGCCGACTTTAATACAATGGAATTGCAGAGGACTAAGGAATAACTTTAATGTGATACTATTATTAATACAGGATTTTAAACCATGAGCATTATGTCTACAAGAGGCATATCTAAAAAATACAGAAAACTTTAATCTACGACATTACAGTGATTATCACATTTTTTCTCCCATAGGAGATAAAGCAACAGGAGGTGCATCCATTTTGGTACGACTGGGTATAATACATAGCCCTGTCCCTCTAAATACCAATCTCCAAACTGTACACTGCACATGGCACTCACGTTGTGCTGTAGCAGGACTGCGTCAGTCACAACCCGCGCACAGGACAACAGACGCTACTTTTTGTTGTTCTTCAATGGCCGATGATTTATTGGATGATTTATGGTATATGGTGGTGAAAACGACAACCCTGAAACAATCAGGTGTACAATATAATAAATGCAGCAATATACACATATCCAAACACAGATATACACATATAATTCGTACATATGTCATAACTTTACAAAATAGTTGCTTCAGTAAACAATTACTGTGTACAAATGTATTTCATTTGATATACATGACATATATACAACATATAAACCTACCAGGTGTGTGGGCCTAGGTTTATTTCACACCTGGGGACGCTGCTGTATCTGTATTAAATGTTTGCCTGTAGAGAAAATAACAATAATATATACAGACATGCTAATGATGAACATATACAAAAGCATTCTCAGCACTGATACAGTAATCAAACACAAATTTGGCTGTAGCTGAGCAAGATATAAAACAATGCAAAATAAGACCTCATTCATTCATTCATTCATTCGTGCTTATTTTCATTCACCCATTTATGATTACAAAGCTATACTTGTGTTCATCCATTCATCACATGCTCACGTGGTTAACCTTGCCTTTTAATAATCATGTTACTAATATTACATTATAATGAATGTAGAGTATTTATCACCAACTTCACAGTACTAATTTAAGACTAACACACACTGATACAACTACAAGTTATATCTACAAATGATATACATGAACAATAAATAGATAAAATATCCAAATTACCTTAGAATATGATCCAAAGATATGATCCAAAGGTATGTCCAGAAAATGAACAAGACATGTTGACACACTGAAGATTGAATGTGGAGTGACCACAAACCTTGTAATGTGTAAAAGTGTAAAGCTACGCTGATTGCCCAAGCTGGCTATAAAGACAAAAGAACGTAGGTGGGGAAGGGCTTATGTTATTGTGCTGTGTGGTGAACATGCGGTAAGCATGCTCAGTGAACTGGCTGTGAGTGATAGTTAGTTAAGGCAGGCTAAGTATCATGATAAAATAAAATGACTAAAGCTGTGCAATGAAATTTAAAGCATTTATTTACATGAATTCTAATCAATTTACAACATGTTAAAATATACAAAATCTGTTACTGCCACATACTTCCCTCCTGTGGAAAATGACGTCCACGTCATTCTTGGGGTTCGTCAATGAGTGAAAGTAGTGCTTTGGAAATGCCACTGCTGATGTGACCAATGACGCCGGTAGCAACTAACTGTTTTATGCGTCGACTCTTCTGATGCCAATCTGGATCAGAAGTCTGGCACATCACATATTCCCCGGACGTCTGCCATGTTGGTTTCTTAGATTGGTGTCCAGAGCGTCGTGGAAGTGGTGTTGGTCTTGAGACAACTACAGGAGTTACAGGAGGAGATTCCCTTCCAAATGAGTCTTCTTGCTCTGATGCGTCTTCAGGTTCTGCTTCTGTGCAGTCTTCACTAGTATCAGTCTGCACGTGGTCGTCACCACCAGAAGCATTACCATCTGTCTCAGCAGACACCTGGTCGTCACCACTTGTCTGTGAGATAGATGTATCCTTGTCCACAGTACTCCCACTGATGAAAGTCTCGTCATCAGGAACTGCTGGAATTATCAACAGATCTTCCTCCTCTGACTCATTGTCCTGAGTGTCTTCTGATTCCACTGATGATTCGGTGACTGGTTTGGTCGGTTTCCTGGATCTTGGTGCAGGTGTTGGCTTTGGTGTAGCAGGTGCGTTGGAAATGGGAACTGATCCTATAGACGTCCTGGATCTTGGCGCCGGTGCTGGCTTTGGTGTAGCCGGTGCCTCAGAAATGGCAATTGATCCTATAGGTAAGAGGTGATTCCGATGAAGGGTCCTCTTCCTCCCCTCTCCCGTTTCTCTCTGCACAACAAACACAGGGATATCCTGGTTTGGCTGCGAGAGAACAACAAACGGATCCTCTTCCCAGCGATCTGCCAACTTATGTTTTCCATCAAAGGCAAGCGCCTTTACTAGCACTCTGTCTCCAGTCTGAACAATCGCGCCACGCACTTTCAAGTCATAACCAGTCTTCTGTCTATCTTTGGCTGTCTCTGATGCTCTGGCTGCTAGCTCATAAGCCTCTTGAAGTTTCTTTCGAAGAGAATCCCCGTATGATGAAACTGATCCATGTCCCTGGCTGGTTTCAATGCCAAAAGCCAGATCAATTGGCAGGCGAGGCTCTCGACCAAACATCAAGTAAAATGGGGAATGGTTGGTGGATTCATGCCTAGTACTGTTATATGCATGGACAAGGGGAGCAACATAGCTCTTCCAATCCGTCTTCTTGTCAGGCTGTAGAGTTCCGAGCATGCTGAGCAGTGTCCTGTTGAAACGCTCAACCATTCCATTGCCCATTGGATGATATGGAGTTGTCCTGCTTTTCTCCATTCCCAAGATGGTACATAGTTCCTTCATCAGACGGCTCTCAAAATTAGCTCCCCTGGTCACTATGTATACGCTTGGGAATGCCATAGTGTAGAATGAAGTTTCTAAAGAACACTTCTGCTGTTGTTTTTGCAGTCATGTTGCGTGTTGGAATCGCTTGTGCATATCTTGTAAAATGGTCAGTTATGACAAGTACATACTGATGACCTCCTTTAGAAGCTTCTAGAGACAAAAAGTCAAGACAGACTAACTCCAAGGGCTGGGTGGTAGTTATGTTCATCAGAGGTGCACGAGCATTGGTAGGAGACTTCCTGCGTAAACATCGGCCACATCTTTGAATGTAATCCTCCACATCCTTGTGCATTCCTGGCCAGAAGAAACGGTCACGTAGGAGTGATAATGTGCGGTCTCTCCCAAGATGTCCAACATCATCGTGCAATCCTCGCAATGCATCATCAATAAAGGCAGAAGGCAATACCAGCTGTTGTCGCTCTTGTCCATCCAGGATAACCTTTCTGTACAGAACTCCACTCTGTAATGTCAAGCTGTCAAAGTGCCGATAAAAAGCATTATTAGCTGGACATGGTGGATAATCCTGTCGTCTTGGTTTCTTCCTTGCTTTAACCAGCGCTATCCATGGTCTCAGAATGTCATCTGAAGACTGAGCCATTCTCCAGTCTCGCTGTGTCATTGCTGTGAGATGCTGTCCAGGTGGATCCATATCTGTGACCTCTGGTGATATGGAGAAGGATAGTGACTGTATAACAGGGTGACCTTGCAGAGTATTGCATACTGCTCTAACTGACTCAGCTGGCATCTGGGACTGTTGATGGCAATCCTCTATTCCCGGGAGTCTGGAGAGTCCATCCGCATCCGCATTATTGAGGCCTGGCCTGTAGACAATGTCGAAGTTGTATGCAGCTAAAGCTGCCAGCCATCGGTGTCCTGTGGCATCAAGTTTGGCTGTGGTGAGTACATAAGTAAGAGGGTTATTATCTGTGTAGACAGTAAAGCTATTACCATACAGATAATCGTGGAACTTTTCAGTCACCGCCCACTTGAGTGCTAGAAACTCAAGGCGATGAGCTGAATAGTTACCCTCAGACTTGCTAAGCCCTCTACTTGCGTAGCTGATGACTCTTTTAATTCCTTCCTGTTCTTGGTACAGAACTGCACCTAGGCCACAGGTGCTGGCATCAGTGTGCACCTCGAATGACTTGCTGTAATCAGCATATCCAAGGACAGGTGGTGAAGTGAGAAGATCCTTGAGCTGACAGAATGCTGATTGTTGAGACGGTCCCCACAGAAAAGGTTTATCAGCATCTGCAGTTCTTGTATTTCCACGTTTCTTGGGTCTTGTACTGGGCATTAAGGAAGTTAATGGTTTGGCAATCTTCGCAAAGTCTCGTACAAACTTACGGTAGTATCCTGTAAATCCCAGAAACTTTCGAACTTCCTCAGGATTTCCAGGAATAGGCCAATCCTTGATCCGTTGTACCTTATCTGGATCAGCTTCTATACCATGTTCTGAGACGACATGTCCAAGAAATTTGATCTTAGTCTTGAAGAAGGAGCACTTGTCTGGGGTGAGCTTCATTCCAGTGTCTCTGACTCTTTGAAGGATCTGTTGAAGACGCTCCAGATGTTCGTCATAGGTTGTGGAGAACACGATAATATCGTCCAGGTAAATTAGACATATTTTGAGGTGGAGTCCATCGAAACACTCAGCCATGAGCCTCTGATATGTTGCTGGGCTATTGCAAAGTCAAATGGCATACGGTTGTATTCGAAAAACCTAATGGACCAACGGTGAAGGCTGTTCTCTCCTTGTGGCACTCTTCAATCTCCACTTGATGATATCCGCTTTTCATGTCCAAGGTGCTGTAGAATTTGGATCCTGCAAGGGCATCAAACATCTCCTCTATGCGTGGCAGAGCGTAGGAGTCCTTTATGGTCTGTTGGTTAAGCTGTCGGAAGTCCACACACATGCGTAATTTTCCGCTTTTCTTACGCACCAATACAACATTAGATGACCAGGGTGAGAAGGAATGACGGATGACTCCACTTGTAAGAAGTTGTTGAAGATGTTCCTTCACTTCTTGGTACATGGCGGGTGGAATCCTTCTGTGCCTCTGCTTGAAGGGTCGGTCATCTTCAAGGTCAATCCTATGTTTCACTGTTGTCACATGTCCAATGTCCTGTTCGCCCGTGGAAAATACATCAAGAAACTGTGAAATGGTTTCCTTTCCAAGTCTGAGTTGTTCAGGCGTGACATCAGCCTCATTGAAATCCATTAAGTCCATGGCCTGTTGACCTTCATCCTGGGTAGGTGTTTTGGCTGGGAGATCTTCAATGGAGACAACTTGAAGCTCGCATAACAGGGCTCTTGTTGGAATAGATACAGTCCTTGTGGTGACATTAGAAACATGAACTTGAACCATGATCTTTTCATCGTGATGAAAATCGACAATGGTTGGTGCAATGTCTAGATCAGGTGGAATAGCAGAGTTCTTGGTCGGTTGTACAACAGCACAGGTGTCTTTGTAGACTATAGGCTTGCACAAATATCCCTGGATAACCCTCTCAGTGTTAGGTAGAATGGTAAAACGACCATGTTCAGCACTGCGAACCTTACCTAACGAATAGTTATGCCTTGCCAGTTCCCTCTCTTGTAAGAGCATATTGCGGAATGCCATATACCATGGTGTATGGATATCAGCCTTTTGAAGGAATCGGCTTCCATACTGATTCTTGCATTCATCCATGTAGCAAGATAAAATATTTGTGCCTAGCAGCACTGGGACTGTGGTGTTATACGGGGTATCAGGGACCACAAGCATAATGCAAGGCAGTTTAGCTGAGGTTGCACCTACACCCTGTACTTCAACCTCTATAAACCCATCATAAGGGAGATGCTGGCCATCTGCACACTCTATCTTCAGAATAGCATCTAAGGGCTGTAGGGGTGTAGCTGGTAGGGAGCGAACGTAAAAACTATGGGACACAGTTGACACTGTTGACCCAGTATCCAATAAGGCTCTTGCCTCTATCCCATTTACAAAAACTGTTCCTTCATTAGGTTTACCTATCAGGGTGGCTACCTGCTGACTGCTGTTGGGTGGGCGTTTGTGACCAAAGCCTATGGTTTGCCCGTCCATAGGCGTCTTCCTGTTTAAAGAGAACTTGGAATGATCCAGCCTAACTCGACATCCATACTGTAAGTGTCCTGGCTGTTTACATCTGAAAGCAAATAGGCTCTTGGGTGTCTGGACGTCTAGAACGATGCTGGTCCTGGGAGTTCTTGAAGTTGGTTGATTCCACCTTTGAACCTGTGGTCCTGTCGGGGGCAATGACCAATGCTGCTCCTGAGATGGGTGTTGTGGATGCCAGTATGATTCTGACCCAACCGCTGTATTAAATCCCTGATGGCCATGTGAGTATTGCCATGGTGTCCTGTCGTCAGAATAAGAAGTGTCCCGTTGCTTCTTCAGCTCGGCAACTTCAGTTGTTAACTGTTTCAAGATCCCCTTGATCTCCTTCATCTCTGGATCCCTGGACTGCTACAGCGGCCATATTGGGGGTTGCACCCTTCTTCCCAGTCCTTGCTCCCCTTTGCTGTAAGTCAGCCTCTGCTCGCCGAAGAGCTCGTAGGAGATCTTCATAACTGTTGCCCTGGTCAAATACATGTGCTGTCAGATCTCGCAGATCTGGTTTAGATCCTGACCATAGCTGGGTCCTCAACATCTCACTCCTGGTCTCTAGTGGGATGGATCCCTGTGTTGCAGCCTGGTTCAGTAGGTGTTCGAGCCTACAATCCCATACAGCAACATCTTCTGACTCTCCCTGGCGTGCACCATAAAAGCATGCTAACAATGACTGGTTCCTGTCAACACTGCCGAAAATACTTTCTAACTTTGAGATGAGCTGTTTTAAATCAGCTTCTGGCCCTAGGCACATAGCAATAGTGGCTGCCTTCCCGCGTAAAGAATGCTGCACAGTATTGGCAACAACTTGTTGAGACAACGATTTGTTCTGTAGCAAACATTCAACTTGGTACTTCCAGACTTCGAATGAAGTCTCGCCCTTCTGTTCACCTGAGAAGGATGGTAACCTTGGGGCTTGTGTCAAGGTAACTGGTGACGGAAAACCAGAAGGAGATTGCTTCTGAAATTTTCCTGAACTAACTGCACCTTGAGGTTCATCTTCAGCCTCTACCTTGGCCTGAGTGTAACTCGTCATCCATTGTACTAAGTCCTCGGGGCTATCGGACTTGGGCCAGGTCTTGAGCGCCTTGAAAGCTCCCAATCAGATTCTTTACTTCTTCTGGTGTTGGTTCAGTCATAGTGACAGAAACGAGGGAAGTAGTCAAATGTAAACGAAGAAAAGCAGGTGTGGTAACCGTATAGGTAAACGTCCAAATGTTCGCGAAATGAGCTGGCCATTTGACTTCATGAAAGATGACAAAACAAAACAAAACCCCAAAACAATTTAGGGCTAAATGCATGAGAAGGTGTTAGTTGTGACTGAGTGCTTGGGATGGTCATGAATTGGCTGGGGCAGCAGAGTAAGGGGACACCCATAGGGTATGTCGACTAAACCTAACACAACGACTACCCATTCGTATGAACCACAACATCAAGCCAACAGAAGGAAACACAATTACTCATGATCCATGAAACCAGAAGCCTAAACGCAGAGAGAACAAACCATAACCATAACCTGTTGAACAACACAACACCTATTTATGACATTAACGTAGTTGTTGGTCTATTTACATGAATGCATAAATGCACTTTATTTGGTTTACTGCATGGAACTCAAACATTCATATAGGTTGGGTATTCTCATTCACGCACACAATCACCGAGGTTGAGGTATAAAACCCCACTAAATAACAGCTACGTTTATGGAAGTCAGTACTGAAGTGTATGAGCGCTCATTCTAAGTCTAAGTATTCACAACACATGCATGCAACAAGATCTAAATTGGCCAAGAAATATTGTGCACGCAGGCACAACCCGGGTACATGATATTCAGAAAAATGTACAAGCAAAAATTCAGAACATGTTCAAACATTGACTTGCATTAAATAATGAACATGTGTACATGAATTCCGTGTCTAAATAATGGTTCCTTGAACCGCCGTTTGCAAACGTCAAGTATAACATCAGTACAGATCTGTACATACAGTGTATAATATGTGTAGTTCAACCTACACTCAAGTGTCTCTATATCTGCAGGTAACAAGATACAAGTTGTATATATCACAGGACAAAACGCACCTCGCGTCACGTTGTTACCGTTGATCACGTCATGGTTCCGTGAGCGGTTGTGGATAGGATCTCGAATGTTGATGACAGCAAGCTCGCCCTCAAATCTCCAGTTAGGCCATTCCTCACTGGGGGCTCCAATGTAGCAGGACTGCGTCAGTCACGCACAGACAACAGACGCTACTTTTGTTGTTCTTCAATGGCCGATGATTTATTGGAGATATGGTATAGGTGAAAACGACAACCCTGAAACAATCAGGTGTACAATATAATAAATGCAGCAATATACACATATCCAAACACAGATATACACATATAATTCGTACGTATGTCATAACTTTACAAAATAGTTGCTTCAGTAAACAATTACTGTGTACAAATGTATTTCATTTGATATACATGACATATATACAACATATAAACCTACCAGGTGTGTGGGCCTAGGTTTATTTCACACCTGGGGACGCTGCTGTATCTGTATTAAATGTTTGCCTGTAGAGAGAAAATAACAATAATATATACAGACATGCTAATGATGAACATATACAAAAGCATTCTCAGCTCTGATACAGTAATCAAACACAAATTTGGCTGTAGCTGAGCAAGATATAAAACAATGCAAAATAAGACCCTCATTCATTCATTCATTCGTGCTTATTTTCATTCACCCATTTATGATTACAAAGCTATACTTGTGTTCATCCATTCATCACATGCTCACGTGGTTAACCTTGCCTTTTAATAATCAAGTTACTAATATTACATTATAATGAATGTAGAGTATTTATCACCAACTTCACAGTACTAATTTAAGACTAACACACACTGATACAACTACAAGTTATATCTACAAATGATATACATGAACAATAAATAGATAAAATATCCAAATTACCTTAGAATATGATCCAAAGATATGATCCTAAGGTATGTCCAGAAAATGAACAAGACATGTTGACACACTGAAGATTGAATGTGGAGTGACCACAAACCTTGTAATGTGTAAAAGTGTAAAGATTAGCTGATTGTCCAAGCTGGCTATAAAGACAAAAGGACCTAGGTGGGGAAGGGCTTATGTTATTGTGCTGTGTGGTGAACATGCGGTAAGCATGCTCAGTGAACTGGCTGTGAGTGATAGTTAGTTAAGGCAGGCTAAGTATCATGATAAAATAAAATGACTAAAGCTGTGCAATGAAATTTAAAGCATTTATTTACATGAATTCTAATCAATTTACAACATGTTAAAATATACAAAATCTGTTTATGTTTCAAAATACATTCGCGCACACCGATGTAAAGGTTTGGTACATGATACAAAGAATAAAAAGGCAAAGGTTCCACCAAATCTACCGTTCACCATTTAAAGGATGGTGATAATTTGTTAACTGATAAGGCTGACATTGCCAATAAGCTTGGTGAAACTCTCGCCAAACATTCGTCTTCATCCAATTATGTTCCTGAGTTTCAGAAACAACAGGAGAAGAAAAGAATAAATATTACCTCAGACAATGGAGAAGACTACAATGATTTTTTTTCAATGCATGAGTTATGTACTGCCCTTGAGCAAGCTCATGATACAGCAACAGGAGCTGATAATATACACTATCAGCTCTTGAAACATTTACCTGAATCATGTTTGGAAACACTTAAAAATATTTTTGATACAATATGGACTATAGGGAATTTCCCAACTTCGTGGCGTAAAGCCATAGTAGTCCCTATACCAAAGCCTGGCCGGGATCATACCGATCCGTCTAATTACAGACCAATCTCTTTAACGAGTTGCGTCTGTAAAACCATGAAACGAATAGTAAATAATAGATTAGCATGGTATCTTGAAACCAATAGTCCCATAACAAGTATTCAATGTGGTTTCAGGAAAAATTGTAGTGCTATTGATCATTTGGTACGTTTAGAATCCTTTGTTAAAAATGCTATAATAAATAAAAAACGTGCTGTATCGCTTTGATCTTGAGAAGGCGTACGATACCACCTGGAAGCATGGCATTTTAAAGGATTTACATGATTTCGGTTTAAGGGGTCGTTTACCTCTTTTTATATCACAGTTTTTAAAAGACAGGCAATTTCAAGTCCGAGTGGGTTCAACCCTGTCTGATCATTATAATTAGGATCAGGGTGTCCCTCAAGGCAGTATTTTGTCCGTCACATTGTTTAATATTAAGATCAACAGTTCATCCAGGGTTTTAAACGATTCAATTGATGGATCACTTTTTGTGGATGATTTTAATATTTCTTGTTGCGGTAAGAATATGCATACTATTGAACGGCAACTGCAGGTGTGTCTAAACAAAATAAATACATGGTGTCTTGAAAACGGCTTTAAATTTTCTAAGTCAAAAACTAATTGTCTACACTTTTGTAGAAAAATATAAGCCTCATAAGGACCAAGAACTATTTTTAAATGGCACTCCGATCAAAGTTGTAAAGGAGGCCAAGTTCTTGGGCCTAATTTTCGACACCCATTTAACTTTTCTTCCGCATATCAAATATCTCAAGAACAAGTGCCTGAAGGCACTTGACTTGTTGGAAAATCGTTTCAATTCTAAATGGGAGGATCAAACTACCGTCGTACATCTATATCGATCACTGGTCCGTTCGAAGCTTGATTACGGCTCCATTGTATATGGTGGAGCCTGCAAAAGTAACCTTAAAATTCTTGATTCTGTCCACCATCAAGGCCTAAGACTATGTCTTGGATCCTTCAAGAACTTCTCCTGTTGACAGTCTCTGTTTTGGAGCCGATTAACCATCTCTCTTACACAACGCCGTATGAAATTATCATTGCAGTATATAACAAAACTTTATTCTAACGAGTCTAACCCTGCATTTAACTGGGTTTTCAACCCTCTTTATGAGGATCTGTACAACAAAAGTCTTCTTTGTTCCGCCTCTGGGACTAAGAGCCAAACCTTTCCTTTCTGCTGCTGGCATTGAGCTGGAAAATATATCTCCTTCCCGTCTTCTTTTCTCCTCCTTGGCAGCTGCTGTAGAGGCCACAAGTGGACCTAACACTAGCAACACTTAAAAAAATCAGAAACTAATGAATTACAATATAGACAAGAATTTAATCAATTAAAAAGTGAATATAATACTTACAAATCCTTATTGACAGATGGGTCCAAGGATGGTGGCGCGGTTGCTTATGCAACTGTCATTGGATCAGAACAGTCTCTTCTAGATTACCAAATAACAGCTCTATTTTCACAGCAGAAGCTAACGCCATATAAACAGCGCTTAAATATATTAAAAACACCCTAAATATAAACAATATATGCTATTTTTAGACTCTCTTTCGTGCCCTCAGGCTATTAAAACTCTTTCTTGCAAACATTCACTTTTAATAGAATTATACAATTAGCTTGCTACTGGCTAATATGACATCGTCCTCTGTTGGTTACCCAGCCACGTTGGCAATTCTGGCAACACAATGGCCGATCTTGCTGCCAAGGCAGCACTCAACAAATCTGTGACACCACTTCTTATTCCATACTCTGATTATAAAGCTATCATTAGATCTTATATCCGTGATCTGAAGCAGAAGAAGTGGGACACCCAAGTAGATATAAAAAATTACATCAAATAAAACCAACTATCGGTTACACCTACTTGGGTTGTCAGTCCAGATTTGAGGTCATTATGCGACGATGACGCATTGGTCATACTAGGTATACTCATGAGTATTGGTTAAAAGGCGAAGATCTAATTTGCATTCTTTGTGATGAAAGAATCACTGTCAAGCATGTCAAGGGATAAATATTTCAGTGTCAAAACAATGAACGATTTTTTTTATAATGTAAATTATCATTTGAAAATAGGGTTTTCTTAAAGAAATAGAATTATCACATAAATTCTGATTATATGTTTTGTATGTAAATGGATAATGGTATTTTATAATTGGTAGATTATATTCGTAACTGAGATCGTTTGTGGCTGTATCCTCAAAGGTGGTGCTGGTGGAATTGGGTTAAACGTCGTGCTTGAGAATATTTCGCTCATATGACGGCGTGCATGCGTGTGTATGTGCGGCTGCTTGTACTAGCCCAGACTTAAGCTGGTTTTATAGTGCTAGCCCACTGAGATACCATGCCGCAGTGAAGCATGAATACCGTACTCAGACACATTATACTGATCCGAGCCGACCAGTCTTTGTTGTACCCATTAATGCCGAGCGCCAGGCAGGGACCAACAAGTACCATATTTTAACGTCTTTTGGTATGACGCGGTCGTGGATCGAACCCGCGACCTTCCGCACTCCGGGCGGACGCTCTAACCACTACACCACAGAGGCGGTCTGTATCCTCAAAGGGGTTAAAGTAGTGTAAAGAGGGTATGTAAGACCACGTCTTTCAAAGTATATTTAATCTCACTACATGTTTTAATCGTAGAATGTATGTCTTTTTCATGTATGGCTATATTTGTCAAACTTGCTACCAGCTGAAGGGATGGTGTAAATCCAACAACGGTCCATGCAGGTAGCAAAAGTACTGTTAGTCCACTTTGTCCCTAGTATGGTGATCTACGTTCAGTTGTTGGCGATCTATAGCCCATTTTCATACTGTATTGTCCTAATTTGAAATCCAATTTTAGAGAGAGATGCTAGTTTTATTTCTTGATAGTGTGATAGTCTAGTTGTTTTACTGCCCTTTGTTGACAGGTGTTTATAATTTACTTTTAATTATTATAAATCTATAACTTGATTTAGTCACAATATGGCTGAAATATTGCCGATGGGACTTAAAATCTTAACTCATTCACTCACAAAAACAAAATACATAGCTCAGGTGGCCTTCTGAAGTAGATTCGTTTTTTATTAAGGTTTATATATTATTAAGGTGAATGTTTCACAGGCAATGTCTCTCTTCAAGGCCTTGTCACTGGCATCTGCATGTAATATCTTATCATCACATTGTCACTGTACTTCCCAATTAAGTTCTTGTTGTCATTGTTAATTATTTACTGTACATGTAAACACCCTGTGTTCAACGATACCAGAATTTGTACCGAAACGTCGCATCACCTGAATAAAGAAGTTGTTCATCCATAAAGTTTGTCCTTATCTACCAGTGAAAATCACTCAGCTGACGCCATGATAAGCATCACATCCGCTGTAGCTATTACAAACTTTGTATGTTTCCGTCATGCTAGGGTTGAAGCTAAATGCGTTTCCAAATTAACAATGTGTATGAAAATAATTTGCAATTATACAGTTTAATAGAATTCGAGATCCAAATTGTTCTTACGTACAGTTATCTTTTCACAGTATGGCTGCACCGCTCGGTTAAATCAAATATCTCAAATGACTACATACATTTACATATCAATGTACGCTTGACACTGCAGTGTGTCTTTTGTATGCGGAGAGCTGGACAATATATATTAAAATGTATTCAGATAATTAGCAAATATATATTCAAATTTAAAGGTTGAAACAGACTGTAACTGCACGAATCACACTGTTGGTGAATTGGCGAAACCAAATCCTTACATGTGTATTTCTATGGCTATAGTGTAACAATATGAATATGCTACCAGGTTTAGAAGCTGTAAAATACCAAATCGTTTCAATACATTTCCAAAGAGCTCTTAATAAAACACAGTTGACTGTCGGCAGAATCACCCACGGCATTGGTCAGATTATGGCTAATATGTGACAGACAGTAGGTCTATATAATCATATTGATCATGTTTTATTGTCTAACTGTAAGAGATAATGTTAAAAATATAATTCAGATAATGCAGTAACTAATAACTATTTATTGATGTCTTTACAGATTCATGAAACAATCCTTTTAGACGTACCTGCAACATTTATATTCATCATTTCAGGCTTCATAAATTATTTACGTACTTGTAAGCTAAGTATCATCATTAAAGCTCTTCTCTGTTGTTGGGTTATTCTCATTTGGTCTGTCCACAATTGTGTTCAGGAAGAAATCAAATTGGAAGCCTGGGCATATTTTTCATTTTCTGGTTTTGTATTTCGGTGTCATACTTTGAAATCTTTTCTTTTTATCTCTACAATTTTTACAGACACCTCACACTGGGATAGTGAGTAGATAAATAATCTAAAGTTCAGTAGTTATATATATTCATTCAACAAAAAAAGTTAAGGACCACCCCAATTTCAATATTATATCATATTATGATCCATAAAATACTTAAATATTGAATATTATGAACTTTTTGTTATTGATATAATAATTTAGGGGAATAAATGTCAGTATCTCATTCGT